AGATTTTGTGGAAGTGGTATCACTTCTCTATTAAACATTTGTCACATCATATTACGTAGATTTTGTGGAAGTGGTATCACTTCTCTATTAAACATTTGTCATGTTCAATAGACTATACATAATTTACCGTTAAAGATAATACTTTTAGGCAGTGTTATTCTTTTCTTTTGGACTCTGCTATATTTACTGTTTAGATGGATCACTTATTTTACTTAGACATGCTACGCTTCGTTTTACACCTTCTTCAGAAACGTTGAACTAAAGCACAAACCATACAGACATCATATTGTGTAGCTTTGTGCTAAAACAAACAATATTTTTTTTCTAACTGTGACATATTACCAGAACTTGTGGTACTAGGTTATTTTGGACTACATAGGGGTCGTTTCTAAAATAGGGGTAACCATTTCACCAATTTTAAACCGGCAGAGCTAAACGAAATAACAAAGTCAAATAAAAGAGATCTTAATTCCCAAAAATCTAGGAAAAACGTTTAACGCTAATTGTATTAAAGAGTTTTTGTACGTTATTCATAATCAGAACTAGAACACTTTAAAGGCTGTTTCGTACTTATCTGATTATTAAATATCTAATTAGGTTGTTAGCAGCGGCGTATTTTGCAATAAAATCGGAGCTTATTTACCAGTTTGAATTTCACAGATAACAGCAAGCTGGGGTTTAAGCATTATTGTAACTTCACAAAGAATTTTAATGTGCAATCGGAATCAGGAAACCTGACAATCGAAAACATATACAGGAAATCGAAACCATATAGAACAGATATGATAATACCGCTAGACCAGAACAACGGCTATGTTGTGTAATATATTACACGAGTGTAAAATAAAAAAAAACGTCTTAATTATACTTTATTACACTTGCCGTTTTGGTTATGAATCGAGTTTGAAATAATGTTTTGTTGTTTTTTTTTGTTTTTTTGCTGTTTTCTGATGTCCTTATAGTTTCATCTATGGTAATCATTAATATTTAGTGCCTTTAGATAATCAAACTCTATGTTTGGTTACTGAGAAACATAATTATAAGAACCACACCATAGTGTAAAAATAAATACTTTCCATGCGTATCCATGATGTAGAAATGTCATTATATCTTATTTTAATTTCTTGGGCCGACTTGTGGGATATATATTACGCTGTGTACTAAATTTAAACGTTTTAAGGCATTGGCCTAAAGTGGATACGATTTAAACAGATAATGATGGATTCATGCTTGGAATTATTTGGCCATAATTAACTACAAAAAGTGGTATGTAACTACGCTTCTTTCTTGTAAAGAGTGCCAAAGTACTATCTTATCCTTATGTATAGGGTTCTTGTAGTTTCACCAATGTATGATAGTAGCTGGTTAACAATGTTGAAAACAAGATAACCATCTTTACACTGTAAAACACTTTTTTTGTAAGACAGTTAGCTCTGTTACTCCGAAGGCAGTAAACTGAAATTTTGAAAGTTA